GCTAATAGGTTTTTTGTTTTGTTTTGTTTTTTGTGCTGTGCAGAAATTTTTTTTAGTTTAATTAGATCCCATTTGTCAATTTTTGTTTTTCTTGCAAACATTTTGGTGTCTCCATTATGAATTCTGTTCATGCCTTTTCTATGCTTATTAAGATGATCTTGTTTAGGTTCTACATTTGGGTAATGTAGGGCACCACATTTATACATTTCTGTATCCTTGATTCCTAGGGATAAATCCTGTCATCATGGTGACTAATTATTTTATTGTGCTCTTAAATCCCAGGGATAAATCCTATGTCATTGTTGTGAATGATTATTTGATTGTGCTCTTGAATTTGGTATGCTCTTGGACTAGTTTTGTAGAGGATTTTTTGAATCTATGTTAGTCTGGGACACAGGCCTATACTTTTCCTGTTGTATTCTTTTCTGGCTTTGGTATCAGGTAATGCTGGCCTCACAAAATAAGTATGAAAATACTTCTACTCACTCTTTTGAAGAATTTGAAAAGGATTGGTATTACTTTTTCTTTAAATATTTGATACAAGTTAGTAGTAAAGTATCAGCTCTTGAATGTTTTCTTTTTAAAATTGGAGACTTTTTATCCTTGATTCAACCTCTTTAGTTGTTATTGGTCTGTTTAGGTATTCTGTTTCTTCACGATTCCATTTTGGTAGGTTGCATCCTTCTACAAAAATTTCTGCTTCTACTAGGTTATCCAATTTGTTGAGGCATAATTGTTAATAATGGTTTTTTTTTTAATGATTCTGTGTATTTCTGTGATATTAACTGTAATGTGTCTTTTTCTATTCTTGGTTATATTTATTTGAGTGTTCTGTTATTTTTCTTAGTCTAGCTAAAGATTTGTCAATTTTGTTTATCTCTTAAAAATTACTCATAACTTTATTGATTAATTTAATTGTTATTTTAGTCTCTATTTTATTCATTTTTGTACTGATCTTTATTATTTTCTTTCTTCTACTAACTTTGAGCTTAGTTGTTCTTTCTCTAGTTTTTTAAGATACAACAGCAGGTTGCTAACTTGAGATTTTCTTTTTTTGATGTAGGTATTTATTGCTTAAACTTTTTCCCTTAGTACCACTTTTTCTGCATCCCATAGAGTTTGTATGTTGTGCTTCCATTTTCATTTGTGTTAAGATATTTTTAAAATTTGCCTTTAATTTCTCCTTTGACCCATTAGTTGTACAGGATCATGTGGATTGACTTCCTCATTTGTTAATTTTCTTAATTTTTTTTATTTCTGATTTCTAGTTTCACGCTCTTATGGTCAGAAAAGATATTTGAAATGATTCTAATTGTCTTGAATTGCTAAGACTTATTTTGTGGATATTTTTATATCATCTAAGTGTGCAATCTTCTGTATGTGCTTGAAAAAGTACATATTTTTCTGCTGTTAGATGGGATATTCTGGACAGTTCAGTAAGTTCCATTTGGTCTAAAGTATAGTCCAAGATCAAAGTTTCTTTACTGATATTCTGTCTGGATGACCAGATCATTGTTAAAAGTGGAATACTGAAATACTCTGCTCTTACAGAATTCCAGTCTACCTGTCCCTTCACATCTATTAATATTTGCATTTTACATTTAGGTGCTCTGATTGTTGGGGAAAATACAAACACATACATACACACACACACACACACACTATATATATACATACACATACACACATATGTATATTTTGCATATCTTCTCTCTTCTTGACTTCCTTTGTGATTAGATGATTTTCTATAGTGGTATGTTTAAGTTTTTTACTTTTTATCTTTTGTGTATTTACTATATATTATTGCTTTGTGGTTACCTTGAGGCTTACCTAGGACATCTTATTGTTTAATAGGCTATTTGAGGCTGATATCAACTTAACTTTGATTGCATAAGAAACCCTATGTTTTTACTACACCCCTTCCCTACATTTCATGTTTTTGATGACACAAATTACATCTTTTAATATTATGTATCCCTTAACAACTTACTTTAGCTGGTATTTAAATAATTTTGTCTTTGAACCTTCATACTAAATATATTAGTTGTTTGCCACCCACCATTATCATATTAGACTATTCTGATTTTGATTATATACTTTTATCAATGAGATTTCTACCTTCATATGTTTTCATGTCTAGTTATAGTCATTTGCTTTAAACTTGAAGAACTTCCTTCAGGATTTCTTATAAGGTAGATATAGTGGTGATAGCCTGCCTCAACTTCAGTTTGTCTTGGAAAGCCTTTTTCTCTTTTTCTTTTCAGGACAACATTTTCAAGTAAAGTATTCTAATTTAGAAATTATTTTCTTCTTAGCTCTTTGGATATATTTTTCCAGCGTCTTCCAGCCTGTGAGGTTTCTGCTGAGAATCTACTGATAACCTTCTTAAAATGTCCTAACATGTCATATGCTTTTTTCCTCTTTTAGCTTTAAGATTCCTCTCTTTTCTATTTTTTTGATAATTAATTATAATATGTCTTGGTGTAGTCTTGTTTAGATTGAATACTACTGGAGACATTTGACCTGATTGGCTAATTATGTCTTTTTTCAGGTTTTGAAAGTTTTCAGCTATATTTTCTAAAATAATCTTTCTATCTCTTTCCCTTCTCAATCTCAAACTTCTATAATCTGAAAATGATCTCTCTCAAGACAGTTCCATAAGTCCTGTATGTTTCTTTCATTCCTTTTTATTTATTTATTCTCATTTGACTCAATTATTTTCAAATAACTTGCCTTCAAGTTCAGAGAATCTTTACTCTCCTTGATCAAGCAGCTATCAATGCTCTCTTCTCTACTTTTTATTTCATTCATTATATTCCCTAGTTCAAAATTTTCTTTTTATAAATAATTTTAATCTGTGTGAAATTTCTGTTTGTTCATTTATAATTTTCCTGATTTTTGAATTGTTTCTGTGTTTTATTGAAACTCAGTGAGTTTCCCTGAACAATTATTTTGATTCTTTTTTTTTTTTTTGAAACAGAGTTTCACAATCTCAGCTCACTGCAACCTCCACCTCCAAGGTTCCAGTGATTTTTCTGCTACAGCCTCCCAATTAGCTGATATTTATTATAAGCATGCACTACTATGCCTGGCTAATTTTTGTATTTTTAGTAGAGATTGGGTTTTACCATGTTGGCCAGGCTGGTTTCAAACTCCTTACCTCAGGTGATCCACTCGCCTCAGCCTCCCAAAGTGTTGGGATTACAGGCATAATTCATGACGCCTGGCCTATTTTGATTCTTTGTAACATAGATCTTAGATTTTCATTTCTTTGGTTTAAGCTACTGGGAACTTGTGTTTTTATTGTGGTAATTTGTATCCTTGTTTTTTCATCTTTTTTGTTGTTTTTATTGTTGCCTTATGTTAATGTCTGCCCATTTAGTAGAACAATCACTGCTTTTAGGCTTTTATGGAAGGATTTTGGTGGAGAAAGACCTTCTCATAGAGGAATCCAAAGACACTAGCTGGTGGTGTGCAGAAGTTCTGACACTTATGAGGACACAGCAGTGTAGTCTTCATTCAGCTCTGTCAGCTGAGTTCAGTGTAGACAACACTGTAAGTATCCTCATTGACTAATATTATGGATGTTCACAGTGGCAGTGAGGACTTTTGGGGTCTTTAGTGATAATGGCTGCTAGATCCTCCTGATCTCTCTTCTTCCCACCAGGAAAACTAGGCTGATGAACTCCATCTTGGCATTGGGTGCAACTTGTTGTCCTTCCTGTAATGGTAGTGGCTCAGGTATCTGATGAGAGGCAACAGAACTGGGGCCTAAAGCACTGGCACGCATGACTCTAGGTTCCAGGGCTATAATAGCACCTGTGCCAGGGATACAGGCACTTTTATGTGAGGTATGTGAAACAGCTAAAAAAAATAAGGGTGGGAGCATAAGTATTTGCAAAACTACAGGCCTGGATGGGGCCTAGCTCTCTATGAGGGCTGACCTGGTGCCTGAGTGTGGGCATATGCAGAAAGAACTTATGTCCAGGGCTTGACTTACATGCCAGCTCACTCTGGAAATGGCAGTGGTATCTGAGGCAACAGTGGGCACAGTGCATTCTTGCAGCTGGGGTCTGGAACATGAGTGTGTGTATAGCTGCAGCAGCTCTTCAGTGTGTGTGTGAAATCTCTAGTAGCTGAGTTGGTGACTAGAACTCAGGCACAGACAGGCCTTGTGTACAGGGTTTGGTGTACAAAGTAGTTCACTATGGTGATTGCTGTGGTGTCTGACATGTGGGCAAGCATAGGGCTGCCACATGGAATGGGCATTTGCAGAGCATCTGTGGCTCTGGGGTCAGGGGCAGGTGAAGAGTTGAGAAAGGTGGAAGCTCCAGTCTCAAAATGGTACAATAGCATGTGCTTCTGGTAGGGGAAGTGTGCAGCTGCATGTCTCTCTCTGGGATTTTCTAGAGAAAATTGCTCTTGGTTATTTTAATGGCTAAAGATGCCAGTGTCCTCTGTGCAGCAGTATGCTGGGGACTATGGTAGTTCCCGCTATGTGGCAGATACCAATAATGTTTGCTTTTCTTCTTTCTTTATATCCATCATGGCTCTTAGACATGCTGACCTCATCAGCATGGTTTTCTTATATGGATAGTCTCTGTGTTTTTTTCCTCCATTGTGTTGCTGCAAATTCTTAAATGGGCCCTTAGCCATCCCAACTCTGTTTGTTTTGTGGATAGTTATCTACATTTGTGTTTTTTGTGTGTGAGGGATGAAGTTATTTTTGTTTGTGGTATCTTCTGCTCTGCCATCTTGATGATGTCATTTCAGAGTGTCTTATTTTTGTGTAATGCATCTGAATCTTCTTAAGTACTGTATTATTTTGTTATATTTTTGTTTGTACAACTGATTCTTCAAATTTCTGTATTTTTGACTTTTGTATTCTAGTTTTAACCTCTGTTTGTCTCTAGGAGTAGTAGATGCCCTTAAATAATATGTTATTTTATATACATAACTGCATTGTGTCTCATATCTGGTTATAGCGGTATTCTTATCAGGATCCTTTGTGTTGTGAAAAGCAGAGGAATCTTGACTTTATGGAGTGAAGACTTAAAGAAATTATCAGGATGATCTTCATTTTCTCCTCAGTTTGACTGAACTTTGGACAGTTTTTCCTGAACACAGACTCCTTTCATCTCTTTTCCAAGGTAAGTATTTACTTCAGCAAACTCAAATTGCAAATGTTTACTCTGTCCCTTTTAAAAGAATCTTGCCAGTTTTGTAATTTAAGAATGTCTGTGTTAGAAATCTAGGTTGGATACCTTTGAAATGTGCCCATCAAGGATGACAGTCCTCTAAGTTTGTGGGACAATAGAAGCCTGACTTTAATGGACACCAAATTCACAAACACCAAATGCTTAATAACAGAGAAAAAAATTGCAAACTTAAGAATAACTATCCTATCCCAAAGATCATACTCCCTAGCATTCTCCAGTGTGTTCCCAGTAGCTCACCCCAGCACTTACAATCTCTCCTGACTTTTCCTTTAGTAGACTTGGGTTCAGTCTTTCTCCTCTATTGTAGTAGCCTTGATTGAAATCTTCCTTGCTTATTTAAATTTCTTGAGGTTTCTTTTGCCTACTTATGCAGCTTTTTACTTAATACTCTAGGCTCTGATGCTCTTCTTCAGACATGTTCCAAACCTATCTGTATGATTGGCCAAATTGTTGCCAAGTCACACAAACCTTATAATCCCTTAAAATCACCAAACAACTAAACGTTTATAAAAAGTTAAATAACATGAAAAACTACCAAGTAAAAAGGGGAGCCCCATCTTACAACTCTTTTCCTCCAATCTCATTAGTTCAATGATTTGCTAGAAACATGCAGAATTTTGTGTTGATTTGTTTTGTTTTGTGAAAATTTAGAATCATGCTAATCATATTTGTCTCCTTATCTTTATGCACTGATATATCTTAAATATGTTTAAATTTTGAAGTCTTGTAAAATTGATACTTTTGAAATCATTCCGTGCCAGACTCCCACATTAAATGCTGGTCAAAAGCAAAGCACTTATCCAATTAAAATGTTACACACATCATCATAACATTCTCTGAAAGGAATGCTACCAAGCTTCAACAAAAAAATGTAATTCCTTGTTTTATGAACATTCACTTTGAATAGAGTTTTCTCTTAGGGCTTTTAAATTTCAGGTAACTTTAGTAGAAATAGAAAGATTTTTATTAAACTATAGATGAACTAGTTGAAAAAAATGGGCTTATTTGACATATTGATCATAATGACAGTTGTTCAACACAATAAATAGTCAAAAATGAGTATTTCTTTCTAGTCATTGATTTTCAGCTATTTTGTGAATCAAAAGGATGCATTTCTAACTTTTATGCACCTTGAAGTATTTTAAACCTTTCATCATTTGTGAAATTGATGGTGGGGGGACTAACATTTCTTTTTTATGAACTCTGGAAATGTTTGGGAATTTTTTTGTTTTTAACTTATCACTAAATGTGCATTGAGACTGCATATACTTCCTTCTGTAGCTTCAATCTTGAAAGCAGAAATTGTTTTAAATTATAATTTAATCGTATGTAAGGATAAACATTAAGCATAAAATATTACTGAAATAGTCTGCATAAGATCAAAATATATATGCAATGGGAAAAGATGAACACATGATTAAAATAAATGAAGTGGACATCACTAATAGAACATGAATCAATTTTAACTTTAGAAAATAGAAAATGTTATTCAAGTTGTTTTTAAAATTTAGAAATTTGCATTGAAACAGTCACCCGGAGCTAGAAATAAAATAAAAATTCATAAACACAGACAAAACAATCATATGTTTAAGAGCCAAAATAAAAAACAGAAAGGTAGAAAGATATAGAAATGATAAAATACGTAATTTGAAACACCTCTATATAGACAAAGTTAGTAATATATGCATTAACACATATTACTATGTGAAAATACATTTGCCATTTCAGGTTATTTATTTATGAACCTATCAAATACTTGATATTTATTTTTGTATAAATCACTTAGCAATTAGTATGCATGATACCTAATTGTCCAAAAATAATCCTAACTGTATTTGCTATTTCTATGGAACTAATGAGATCGTCTCTAACATTCATGACAGGAAAGAGGTATACACTAGGATCTCCGTAGGAGAAACTTTGCCTACATTTGAAATATTATTTGAAGTAATAAAACGGATTTAATTTTGGTCTATAAGTTGAATTGTATCTTCATAGACAGATGGTGTCAGAAGTGGGATCTGAAGTAGAGTTTCCAACGTCCCCAAGGAGGACTGAGTGATGACGTGAGGTAGCCACAGGACCCATTTGTGTCTGTTGGTCTCTTGGGGCAGCAAGGGCTCCTCATAGGTTCTCTGTTGTATTTCAGGGCTTCACAGATTTGCATTTTGAGCTCTCTGGGTTTCTTTGAGCAAATTTATGTTCCAAACTGGGTTTGGAAGTTATGACATAAACTGGACTGGATCTGGGATCAGATCTGGTGCAGTAATTAACTGGCTTGGATCCAGTTAGAGGCCTCTTACATCTGACTGGGTCAGAAAGAAACTGATAGTAAATGCCAATATTGCAGGGGGTGTAAAATTTGGCTTTTGGAAACTCTCAGGAATTTTTGTGTTCTACCCCTTTGTTTCATTTTTCTTGTGCACTTAGGTAGGAAAAAGTCAATCAAATGAACCACAGAGCAAAGCCAGTATCTTAGGTAAAAATGGAATGTTAGTTTCTGAAGAACGGAATTCCTTCTGGCTTATACATGACGTAAGTGTTAGGCCTCAGATGTAGCAAAGTCTTACAGAAGTGGTGAAATCTTACTAAAGGTAACTTAAAGTGGAATGTTTCAAATGAACAAAACTGCACTGAAGTGTATTTGAAAATGAGGGTTCCCAAATTATTCTCATCTAGGGATGTCTATTGCTAAGCAGAAACTTCTAAAAAGATTTTGGTATTTTCATTTGAAGACTTTATGAAAGGCAAATAAAAAGCTTAAGTGACTAATTGATAAAGAAAATTTAAACCTGTTAACATTTTAGCTTAGTTTCTATCCAGATCCAAAGGAAATAGACTGCAGCACCAGTTGACTGACATGGAGTAAGTAATGGGTACATTTTACCTGGGTAAAGAATGGGATTGGGTTAGAGGTTCTCCTCTCAGTAAAATCTCTCTTGGTTAAGAATGGATTTGACACTATGGGATTTTAACTGCTATTCTCTTTGGATTAATCCCCCTTGTACTTTTTGCTGATGTCTGTGAGTGAGAGGATTAGGCATGTTCAGGATCATTAAACATGGGGACATTTTTCTCCCCAAAAGGGGAAACATGAGAGTTAATGGAACTACTGTAAAAGATCTCTTTGCTACTGACAAATGACTACCTCTCTTTCTCTCTCTCTGTCTCCCTTTCTCACTCTATCTCTTCGCAAACTGGTTGGGGAATGGTAAAAATCACTATCTCTTACAAAGTTTTAATTAATGAGAAAAAGTATTTGAGGGGCTAATCTTAAGCTATAGTAAATCTAGTGTATGTTGTGCTTTGAATTTGTCTTTTTATGTTGTTCTGTCATAGAGAGGGGTGCCTTAAAATAGATAGAACATGGGCTTAGGACCCCATAAGCTTGCTGTTCAAGATGGCCCAGCAACTGGTCAGTAACAAACTATGCTGCAGGTCCCTGAAATAAACAAAAAAACTGGATGAAGTCTTCATCTTGTTTTATGTCCTTGGAAGCTTGGCTTTCTAGCCATATGGCAGTACTCTTCCTTGGTCTTTGCCATCTGGGGAACAGGAATTTCGGGGTTCATGTTATGGTAAAGTCTAAAAATTATCTTGTGTAGTTAAAAGACATTGCAGGCTCAAAATTGACTGCCCTAGTCTTTTTCTGGGAAAGGCAATGAAAACTGCCCAGTGCTGTAGTTCAGCAGCTAAGGCATTGCCATTTTACAATGGTGGCTTGGGTTAAATCCTGGCTTAGGGAAAGAGTCCTTTCTGGTTGGATATCTGTGTGACCTTTGTTTTGATTCTTTTCCCCTCCACAAACCATCTTGAATTTTTCTTTTTCTAAGCTACCTTTGGAGATTCTAAGTCTTATAAAAAACTGTTAACCACCTCCTTGAAAATACTTCATGCACTCGTGGTTAAGTCATAACCTTAGTTGTTGCCTTGTTGCTTTCACCTGTGAGGTTACATTTGGTAAACTTTAAAAGCAGAAATTGGCCATTTGGCCTGGCTGGAGTCGGGTAATAAAAAATTTAAAAGGACTTTTTTAAAAGAGCGCTATGGTTTAAAAGTCAGCTTAATTAAAAGTGGATATTCAAGTTATGTATATATTTAAAAGGACTTTATGATTTTTTTCTCTTCTTAAATCTTGTTTTTCTGGAAAAAAGTTTCTTTCTTCTCGGTTGACTGAATTGTTTGTATCCATTTTTGTCTTGCTACTCTCAATGCATATGAAAGGACCTAAGATAATTTCTAATAGCCTCAGACTCTTGGGAAAAACAGAAGAGGCACCACAGGTCCTGTTTTTGGAAAAACCTCTGTTTTCCTCATAAAACCCCAGCAATTGAAAGCAGATAGATCCCTTTCATAAACTAATGGTAAATATACTTTAGGGATGGCTAATGGCAGTTATAGGAGAACACTTAGCTCTTTGCACCTTTAGATCAAGGAAGCATGCTTCTGCCCACCTAGAAAGTATGGAAATGTCCCCAGTCCCACTGAGATAAGGCTGCCATGGGCGATGGGATAATCACAGAATGGGCTGATAAGTTTTGGGTTGCTTTGCAATAAAATGCATGGTAAAAGCATTGCACTGTCTTCTTCCATGGAACTTCCCTCTTTTGAGGATACCGTATGAGATATATAAATGGGAACCTTAATTTGGGGTATCTGTGTTTTCCTTCCAGCTGTGCTTGCTTATTAGGCCTTGGAAACTTCATGTTTTCCTAGCTATGTTCCTCCAGGGACTCCACCCTACAGTGAGTAATCCAATTAAGAAACTTACAGACTGGCAAATGAAACACCCTACAACTTCTGGATCTTCTTCTGTCTTTCTGTGTTGTAATATATGTATTGTGTGTGTGATGCTTACATGAAAGAGTTCTACTTAATTGGCTTAAAGAAAAATAAGTGCTTTAATATTTTGTTAGAAAAATAAAAACTAATACCTTTTGGTTCACGTCACCTTAGTAAGCTTTTGAAAATAAAGAGTTTTAAAGATTATTGGTCAAATAAAGACATTGGTCTAAATTAGGCAGGTAAGATATTAGGTTTACTAATTGCTTTAAGGTCATAAACTGGTTTGACTTCTGAAAATTGTTCAACTTAAATGCTTCAGAGCTATTAGATTCCAAATAAGACCTGGGGACATGTGGCATTACCTATGCCCCCAGCTATGCTGAAAAGAGTCAGACCTCATCTGCACTTCTGCATGGTGTCTTGGGCTCCACAGCTAGTACATAATAAAGCAACTTACCAGGTTATTCACCAAAATTAAAAATTGCTAAGAGTTACCATTATAACATGTAATTGAAACTGCTGAAGAAACATTCTTACATGCAAGGTGTGTGAGGAGAGTTAAAGGTGTTTTTGGTAAAATACTATAAGAAGGCAAAGGAATGAACATTTTTGCCTCATTTAGAGGGCTAAAGGATAGTTTTAAATTAGGTAAGATAAAGCTAAAGGTTTGAGCAAGTTGTGGAAGGTTTGTAAAAAAACTAATCTTATAAAATATATCACATGTATGAACATATTGGTTAAATTTAAAGGGTTTTTACTTTAAATTGAACACTGAAAAAAACCTCAACATGGACTTCTTAGAGCACTGATCAACTCTTTAACAAAAACTTGTAAGAGGTCATAAAAGGCTTATCAGAATCTCACCTTATGGTCAGACTGATTAAGATTGAGTCAATTTGTCTGTAAGGTTTTATCAAAGACTGGCATTGGCATTAATAGTACACTAATGAAAGGATGAAATTTGGCTTTCTCTCTTGAACGAAGTTTTCATGTAATATTAAATGATAATGAAAGATTTTTCTGTGCTATTTCAATAAACTCGCAAAAAAGGGAAAAGACAAGAGACTAATTGTTTGAAAAGCTGTCTTCCCTCTATCCATGAGTAAAGGTTTTTATGTTTTTAAAAAATTTTTGAGTTATAGTTTTGGTTAAATGAATTACTTATGGTAGCCTGGAATTTTATTTTATAATATCAAGTATTTTAAACATTTAGCATATTTGATAGGCTTCCTAAAGTTAAATTTCAGCTTCAAAATGGTCTTTTCTGGCCTCTAACTTTGGGATACTACAGAGGGCCCCTGAAACATCCAAAAGAGAGGTAACAGGATTATCTGACATGTTAAGTTACATGGAAACCACTATCAAAATAAAAAATAATGTTTAACCTTCTTCAGTTTATATTTTAGTAATTGATATTAATATATGTTCCAAAATTATATGGAATTTCTGAAGTTCTAATTTCTGAGTATATGCTATCAATCATAATTATAGTTATTATGTTAAGTTACTGTAGACCACAGAAATAACATTTCCTTGTCAATTGTGTTTTTAACTATGATTATTTAAAGACATCTCCACAGTTAATTGTTTAATGCTGATACAGATTCAGAAAACTTTACAAGCACACCAAATCCTAGAAAATAGTGTTTTTAGGAGGTTCATTAAAGAATATAATGGACCCTGAAAAGCATTCTTGAATACACGTTCCTAGTAACTTTAGAATCCTATCATTCAGACTGGGTAAAAATTCCTGGGACTTTAATGAAAAGACTGACTGGTTTATAAACTGCTACCCAAGCAGAACAAAAATTAATTGAATATCAAGAAAATACTCTGCCAGGTGTTCATATTAAATCAGCTAATACCAAAATTATTTAGATATACAATTTAAATAAACTGCATGGTCTAAGTCAAATTGCCAGTGATAACCCATCACTCATCAGTGCTATGCACCTAAACTGGAGAAACAACTGATATTCATGAGGACATAAGTTAATGTTAATTAAGCATGAACCAGGACAATCACCTTCTCTTTCCCAAGTCCTTACATCTTTTGTTATTAAAGGTTATGAATTCCATGGCTCATCATGAAAAAGATAAAGTGATCCAAATTAAAAATATATTGGTTAGATGACTTCTAAATTGCTAAAACAGTTTATGACTAATGTTCTGTTTGTCAAACCCATATTCCTGGGAAGACAATCAAAGCTGCAAGTACATTTGACTACCTGATAAACCATTTAAACAATTATAGAGGGATTTTGTTTAATTATAATTTTCAATGCATGTTTCTGGTTGTATAAAAGATTTCCCATGCAAGCAGGGTGATGTTATAATAGAATATTATTATCCCACACTGTATTTTCACCAGATAAAGCTTTTTATAGTTCCCTGACTGAGGACAGTCAACACTTTTGCTGTCTAGAACACAAAGATTGAATTTTCTGAGAACATCAGAAGCTGCCCTTGCCATCTACACTGTGGCAAAACCTCAAGACCTTGAAACTTAGGTTCATAATCTCACAACTGAAAAGGGTTCCTCCACACTCTTGGAACTATACACCTATTAGTGTACACCATTTTAAAGTAAAACTAACCAGGGAAGTTTCTCCCCAGAAGATGATGTCATCCTTGATGTGAACAGTGTTTTCCAAGATCATGGATCAAGACTTCTGAACAATCATGAGACATTTATCTTGAATATTTTTGCCTTGTTTATGCCTCTATGAACAAAAGAAGTGAAAAGGTGGTCTGTTGTGTGCACTTATGGGGTACATTTTTATTTGTAAAGGATTTTGCAGCCAGCCTTATACATGGATATCTTCATTCCTTGATAGATGAAAGAGGAAGGTCCAATGTAGGTGAGAAACTTTAATGGTGCATATTTTGCCTTAAAATCAGTCAGAAACAGAACATTGATTCACTCCTTTTTTGGGTCCTTTTGTTAGGTCCTTTTTTATGGGTTGGAGTAAAAGAAGCAATGATTAGAAATGTATCCTTCATGATAGGCTTTATAGCAGATTCTACTGTAAAGGCTATGGTTACATAACAGACTTTGAATTGTCTTGTGAAAGCTATGCTAAATAATAGAATTCTCTAGATTTCTTACTGACTAAACAAATCTGTGCAGCTGCTGTATTTGTGGCCTATGGAAAAATATCTCAAATGTAGATTATAGAGATTTATTTGTAGGGGATTAATAAAGAGACTACTTAGTTAAGTAACTCTTAAAGACCCCCTTAGAATCTTTAAGCTAGATAAAGAGCTTCATCTTTGGCCGGGTGCAGTGGCTCATGCCTGTAATCCCAGCACTTTGGGAGGCCAAGGTGGGTGGGTCTCAAGGTCAGGATATCGAGAGCATCCTGCCCACATGGTGAAACCCCATCTTCACTCTTCTAAAGCACAAAACACAAAAAATACAAAATACTAAAATACAAAAATTAGCCAGGTATCGTGGTGTGTGCACCTGTAATTCCAGCACTTGGGAGGCTGTGGCAGGGGAATCACTTGAACTCAGGAGACAGAGGTTGCAGTGAGCTGAGATCACGCCATTGCACTCCAGCCTGGTGACAGAGCAAGGCTGTCCAAAAAAAAAAAAATCTTTATCTAGCTCATCCTTTGATCTATTTGATTTTAGATGGATTGGTTTATGGGGATTCTGGATAAGGAGCATACTTAAAACTCTTGGCATTATCCTCCCGAGAGTCAGAATAGTAGTCTACCTGTGTGCTGTGTTCTGTCACAGTTTTAACTGTTTGCTTACAGCGATCTTTAGAATGTCAAGTGGCCTCTCTTCAACCAGAATGACAAGAGCTGAAGAAATGTGTCATCATGAGGATGACATAATCTATGCTGAGACTGGAAACATGCTGAGACTGGAAACCCAAAATGATGGTAACTGAGAGTGGTGCTAAGGCCCTAAGTTTTGGTCATACTGTCACCTACCTGCCCAAAAGGGGGAATTTTTACTACAAAATTACAGGAGTCCATTGTTTTGGACTGAGCTCATACGCTAGGCTCCAACAGACCAGACCAAACTAAAATAGAGTTGCTCATGTTAAATGTGGCATAATCAAACTAATACTTTAAGGTAACACATAAGTCCTAGAACAGACGAGAATTTACTTTCCTCCTGTAAACAGGATACATTGGCACAAGGAGGTGCCCTCTACTGAGTCCTTGTTCCCACCTTGCAAAACCTGCTATTGTACTTTTTCCCGGTAGGTTTTAAGACCAATGGTGATAGTGACATCAGTGACTAAAGTTTTGGTCAATCTCTCAAAGTGAAAAAAAATTACCAAAAGGGGGAAATTGTTAAATGAAGTTTAACCTAAAGCCACCTTCTTGCATAACTAAGGTTCAGCCTAAAGGCTTTCTGTACATCGTGAATTATAACAAGTGGAGGTGTAAGCAGAACATAGCCTACACTTGTGCCAATCACTAAGTTTTGATCAATCAAAATTACCCAACTGTTCCAACTCTTCAAATAAGGCAAATGCCGAGCTGTAACCAACCCAGCTATTTTTGTACCTCACTCTCATTTTCTATAGGTCACTTTTCTTTTCCTGTCCATAAATCTTCCATCATGTGGCTGCACTGGAGTCTCTGAGCCTTCTCTGGCTCAGATGGCTGCCTGATTCATTGATCATTCATTGCTCAATTAAACTCCTTTAAATTTAATTAGGCCAAAGTTTTTCTTTTATCACTATCAATACTACACTCTGGAGATAAAAACAAGATAATATTAAAATCCAGATTTGACAACAATTTTAAGTAGAAACTCCTTTTTAAACAGGACATAGTGTTTAAAGCAGTATGTTCTTTACTCCGGATGTTAAGTAACCTTTTCTCTTAAAAGTGTCGCTTTTGGAGAAATTTAATGTCTGATTTTTTTTTTTCTGAGATTGAGGTACATTAATTCAAAAACTCTTAATCTAGCCTGAAGTAAACAAAATAAATAGCTAGGAACAGATGATGTATGCTGTTTGTTAAACTATATAAACTCATGTGTATCACAATATGATGTTTCACTAACAAATAATGAAACTGTGGATATCATATATATATATATATATATATATATATATATATATATATATACACATACATATACATATTTCAGCAGAAAAAAATAAATTTCCCAAATAGAATAAGCTGCTTGGTTTGGAGCATTGTTGCTATTTATGCTGCAAAATTGCTTCTTCTCAAAATTGTAATTGTGAAATTTCCTAAACGATGTACTATATTATTACCTTTTATAATAGTTTAAAAATAAGGTTCCTCAATGGTACAACTTCTCTGAAACAAATAAATTTGGCCTCTATAATAGTCTTTGGAGAGGTTCTACATTCTATATTGCAAAAATTCAAAGATCAGCTGCTAACATAAATAAATTCTGTAAATCATTCAGAAAACTTTTGCTAGTAAGATTAACAGAAGACTAGAAATACGTATTTCAGGATATGCAAAGATTAGATCAAACTCTCAGTCTCAGGAAAGTGACAGTAAAACTCTGCTCACAGTTAGAAGTTTAAAGACTACTAACCCTGATATGTGAGGTGTCATCCTAGTGAATGAAAAGTTCCAGACTGAAAGGACAAAGCCCAATAAATAACTTAGCACTTCACGTGAAGGGGCATCAGATGTTAGCAAAATTATTGATCTTTACAGAGTTGGGTGGGTAGAGACAAATAGAATACCTCGAGGGAAGTGACTGTGTTGTGTTTTAAGGAAAGAGAAGAATGTGTCATAGATAGAAAAAGGCACGTGTATATATTGCACTGTGCATGAAAGGGAAGCTTGGATGTGCTGTGGGATCATGTGTTTTAATAAGACAAGTTGGGTGAGCTTGTCTGTGAGGATGTCTGTGCACATCAAAGAGGAAGACTGGAAGGCTAGAATTTTAATAAAATAATAATAAAATAAAATCACCAGATCATTAGCTGAGTTTACCTGCTGGCTACAGAGCAGGTAGCTTCTATTTCATTGGAACTGATTTTGGGAAATCAAAGGTTTTCAACTAATACTGTTGTATTTAAATGTGTGCCCCTTATAAGTTTCCTTTATAAACACCCATTCAAATTACAAACAAAAGCTAATTAATGAATATTCTAAGGTATCCAGAATTTAAAAAAATGTATTCTACAACTAATAGAAGGTAAATGGCACAGATGATTAGCCCATCAATCTTGGAACTTACTCCAAATAATGTGTAAATTTGAAACTATTAAAATGCTTGAGTTAGAAGCAGATTGTATTTATACAAATAAAGAAGATTCTGGAAATTCAGTTAAGTTGCCTCAAATATAAATATATATTTTTCAAACTGTAACTATAATAAAATTCTGGTTAATAGGATGAACCGACCTGATGTAGAAGGACAACCCTATTCATCATATGTATATATACACCCCCCCCCACCATGTACATATATGTCAGGTATGATGTAATCCTTTTAAATTCCACAGTTGCCTTTTCAAATAAAAAAGGTTGAACAATTTTCAGAAACTGAAACAAAAAAAGTAGAAGAATATTTGGTGAATGTGAGCCAAAGTAGAAAACATACAAGGCTATAAGAACCAGTAAAATCTCTTAGAGATAGAGGTTTTAATGATCAAACAGAAATAATGAATTATGCCTTGTACAATATTGGAAACAGATACAATCCCTGGATAAGTCAGGGCTCTACTGATTACCTCATCTTGGAAGAGCAACCAGAGCAACTGTGCCTACAGGTGTGGGGAAGCTGTAGAAGGGTAGCTATCTAAGCAGGGCTAGACAAGGAAGAAATGCTATCAAGGAGGTTTCTGAACCTCAAGCTTGACTCATTTTGCTGAAGGGCCTAACTAATACAATGCTAGCCCTACGGTCCTGAAACACTGAACCAAGAAATTGATATAAAGCTGGTTCTGAACAGTTGAAATTCAGAGCGCTCTCACAAAAGCAGCTTGAAATATAGCCTAGATTTGGGGAATGCTTATAGAAAATAATTCTCACTGAAAATGAATTTACAATCAGAAGTTATAAAATACATAAGATTAAAACTAGAGAACTGACATGCCATGAGCATGAAACAGAGAAAAATATGAAATAATTTCTTGAAAAATTCAATGAGATTTAAAATAATCCTGGCAATCTGGTACGCTCAGTGTCTGGATAAACTATTCCTGGACAGAACATCTAACAATCTGGATAGTGTATTTAATGTGTCTTTTTAAATGTATAATTGAACTGATAGGAAGTAAGACACAAACTTCAGAGGTCAAGAAATGATGACAAATATAACCTGAAAAGTTGAGAAAGGACTGAAACTGACATTCACCCTGACTCATCTGCTCATCCATGGTAATGTGGAGTTTTGTTTTCATATTAAATAACTAAATCACATTATTTAAGTACAAGAAGACTGACTTTTTGATGTCACAATAAATACTATATAATAAAAGAAAAGACAAACCTCTTAATTTTACCTTGGTGAAGAAGCAGCAGAGTTTGAACCTGTTGAGGGAGATTTTACAGATTTGAGGTTCAGTTCTGCCACTTAAAAATAGTCAAAGCATAACACACATTTAGTGTATGGTTTAAGTGAATGCTTACATATCTATACCTACTACTCACATTAATAGTATTTTAGAGCACACCAAGATGGCTGTTACATATATACCCACTATTCAATAACCAACCAGGAAAACTGTTATCATGACTTGTATCATCCTATATTTGCATTTCCTGTTATTTCACTTTGTAAAAATGAAATCTTTTGTATCTGACTTCAGTTAACACAATGTCTGTGAGATGCACACACATTAGGTATAGCAGTACTTTACTCTTTTTGCTGTAAAATATTTCACTATATGATTATACCACAATTTGTTTATAATATCTGCTCTTTAAGTGTATTTGGGTTGCTGCCACTTTTTGACAATTAAAAACAGGGCTGCTGTGAAAATTCTTGCACATGTAGCTCAGTGAATGCGTTTACACATTCTATTAGTTATATGCCTAAGAATTAAATGGACATGTCATAGGGTATAATATATTAAGCTTTAGCAGACACTGATAAATAGTATTTCAAAATCATTTCTTCTCATAAGCAGTGTATGGAGTTCCAGTTTCTCCACACCTTGGCCAATATTTGATAATGTAAGGCTCTTTAATTTTGCCACCCTAGTGGGTATGAAGTACATTGTGCATTGTGGTTTTAAGTTTTCCTAATGAAGGATACAGTATAACACATTTCAAATGCTTATTGACCATTTGTGTATTCTCTTTTGGGAACAACCTTATTAAAATGTTTTAAGTGGTTTTTCTTTTTTCCTCCTTAGTGTCTGAAATTTACTGATTGCATT